ATTTCTGTTATGAAAATTTCTGGAACACTTTCTGAGTTACAGGCATATGAAGAGTTGCAATTGTATCTGGCTGGCTGTGTGTGTGTGTGTGTGTGTGTGTGTGTATTGCAGATTTCTTGTATACTCAGCATGTCTGTTGACTTTGTCAATGTGTGTTTGTATATGTGTATGTGTGTGTGTGTGTGTCCCTGCTGTTGCTTCTGATGCTGTGTAGCTCGCTCTTGTTATTTTTATTGTAACTCTGATTCGCGCTTTATTGCATTATAATTGAATCTTGAAGCGCACAACTAACGCAGGAAACGTTGCCTGACTGCCTGGCTGCCTGCCTGCCTGCCATGTCGATGCTTGTGGCAGCTGCTAGCCAGACGCCCGTCCTCTACTTCTTCGTCAGCCCACAGCTGCTGCACTTAATGCCAAGTGTTTAAAAAAAAAAGAAAAAAAGAAACGAAGTAATATTTACTTACACCCCCAACCACTAACCCACCCACCCACCAGCCAGCCAGTCAGCCAGTCAGCCTGCTGGCCATCCATCTATCCATCCATCCATTCAAGCAGCGAGTCATTGCACCGCCCAACGTTCAGCGCATTCACTCGGTCACCCCTTCAACTCTCACCTCGACGCCCGCTCACCTCGTCGCCCGCTTACCGCTCATTTTGCTCATTGCCAGCGAAATGCAATAAAAATTGTTTTCCCATAGACGGCGCAGAGCGACGAACGACGAGCTGGCTAAGCAAATGTTGTTGGAAATGAGCTATAAAAACGGGAAATTGTATTTTACAGTAAATTTTTGCTACACACACAAACTAGCTATAGTCCTCGATCTAACCACGCCCCCTCACCCTTACAGCGCTCTGTGGGCGTTCCACTTGCACGTCAACGCCTTTCATGGGGCTGTCGCAGATAATCCGTTGCTGAGTTGGCTTGTCTTGACTTGGCTTGACATTGGCTTTGGGTCGTCGTTCCATTCCTTGCCCTTCCTTTTCCTCTTCCTCTTGCCGTTTCATTCTGTTCCTCTCAGTGCTCGCGTTTTGTAGTGCTCCCTTGCTGCTCCTGCTGCCACTTCATTGAACATTCCCTGCTGATCTGTTGTTGCTTTTGGGTCTTGGCTGCGTCTAACGTGGCTTATAAGCTGCCAATATTAAAATGATGACAAGTTTATGGCTAAGAACGGGGCAGCGAGGCGCGGCACAGAAAAATGCAATTCATGGCAAAACTGATGTCTCAGACTGTGGCTTTACTTCTCTGACTACCATCGCCCTTCCGCCCCCACTCCAGCTGCACACAAAATTGAAGCAATGAAAGTATTTGCTTCGCCCTCAAATGACAAACGCAAACAACAACAAAAATACGATGAGAAATGGCCACAACAATTTGGCAGCTTCATAAAGAGCGGCATTCAGGGACTGGCACAACGCTCCGAAGACTCTCAAATGAGTCAATAGAAATGTCCTCGAGCTGCTTTCACAGTTAGTTGATTAATATTTTAAGCTAAATCTGAGCTAGCATATAAAAGCGAATACTCAAACAGATTTGTAAGGCAGCTTTACAAGAACTA